TCATCATCCCCCTCCTCCTCGTCCTCCCTTCTCCTCTATTCTCTTCATCCTTTTCCTCCTCCTCCTCCTCCTCCCGCGCCTCCTCCACATCCTCCTCCTCCTTGTCCTCTTCCTCCATTTTTTCGTTATAAATAACTTCTCCCCGTCGCAACCCGAAGTCAGTTTTTTGGCGGGCCGGGCGTTTCACCTGAGACTTCCTTACCACTCATGACTCTGAAGCTTAAACATTGGCAACAGCTTCACAAATGGAGGGCGGGTCGTTTTCAACATGTGGCTCTCGCCTTAGCGCTGCGCACATCATTTCTAAACGTTTCAAAGAGTTTCACGGATTGAGGATCACCCGTTTTCAAAATGTGGCTCTCGCCTTAGCGCCGCGTGCACTCATTCTAACAATTTGCAGAAGAGTTTTACCGATTGAGGGCGGTTCCTTTTCAAAATGTGGCTCTGGCCGTAGCGCCGAGCGCAGTCGTTCATAAAAATTGATAGAATTTCGAAGTTTTCCAACGATCAACGTACCAGAAATTGCGTTTTGGAAGGATTCAGGGTTTCGCGGGCGCAACAGTTACCTTGTTTCGCGGCGCTGAAATCCCAAGAACGGCGTTCTGGCACGATCCAGGATCGTCAAGACGCAGCAATCAGGTTGATCCGTGGCGCTGGAGTCTCGAGAAGAATGCTTTGGCACGCTTCCGGGTCTTCAAACGGTTGTCTTCCAACGAGGCAGCTCCCTCAATGGAAATGAAAGTTGTAGGGGCCTGCAAGGAGGGAGCTTCGAGGGAGGGTGTATTCCAACATCGTTGATGGCTCTTGGGTTTACACTGGTCCTCCTCCTCCTCCTCCTCCTCCTCCTCCTCCTCCTCCTACTCCTCCCCTTCCTTGGACTTGATCTGGATGGAGACCATCCTGCTTTACCCAGTGCCTGGCATGCCCCCTCCCCCTGACGCGTCCGAAACAGAAACTGCGAGGGCAGACCCACAGGATCTACCGTCAGGTCGAGGCCCAGGCAACCTCGGCCTTGACGAAGAGGCGCATGCCCCCTCTTCTCCTCCTCTCCCGCCTGGTGCGCGGAGGAGGAGGAGGAGGAGGAGGAGGAGGCCCCAAATCCAGTCTCGGGTCAAGCCCTTATGGCAGAAGAGGCGGGAGGGGCGACACCAAATCTTGAAACCGTGTGTATTGCTTTGGTTCAGCAGGCTGTTCATTCATCTTGGTAGCTTCGTGGTCTGCAATCTTAGTGGCCTGCGGGAAGCTGGCTGCCCACACCGGCGCCACCACCACCTCGTGCTCAGCAGTCAGCAAGTGGCGCATCACCCGCACCTGAGCGTACACTGGAACAGCGCGCTCAGCAGTCTGACCGGCGGCTCATTAGATGGGACAGGTTCAGCCGGATGGGCAAGCAGGATTATCAAGAGCATCCTGAGACTGGCCAACTGAGGGGTGATACGTCAGCCGCCAAGCCATCTTTGAAGGGGAACTGGGACACACAAATAAATAGACACAAATAGCCGGATTCCCCAGATAGTCCCATATGTTCTGGGTTGTTGTCTTCCCCCCCACTTCCCATATTTTCCTGGGGATCGACCAATAATTGTGTCTGTGTTTTTTCCCCTCCTGACTCTTGTGGGCCTTGCCAAGGTACCCAGCCCTCGCCTGCCCTGGTGCAGCTCTCCCAATCGCGCTCCCACTCCCCTCTGCGCTCTTTTCGGGGATCTGGCAGATCATCTTCGCCGAAAAAGCTCTGGCAGATTCTACTTCCGCAGGGAAGACGATTCGCGTTCTCATCGCTCAGTGTGCCCGGCGCTCAGCCCTGGAAGGGGAGAGGGCGATGGCGTTTCCTCGCTCCGTTCTCGGAAAGCCCTTCTCCCCCGACGGACAGGAGGGTGACTTGAGCATATGCTGTCAGGCACTGTGGGGTGGTCATTCCTTTGTCAATGCGTGCGAATATGCCACGCTTCCGCAAGATTCATGTTCTCAACTTCCTCCAGTTGATGATTCCGTCAGAAGAGAAGCCAAAGGTCGGCGCCAGAAGAGCAAGTCCCCTCAGGCAGATTTACCATGTGTGGCGCCGCCTACCTGTAGCTCGTGCCAGAGAGATCTGTGGCATGTCATTAGAAGCAACAGCGGTCGTCACCATTGCTTGCAGTGCGAACCATGAGATTTGCAGCAATTCGCTTAGTGTGAAAAAAGATCGGTTGGCAGCCGATGGAGAGGAGCTAGATTATAAAAGGTTGCCAAAAAGGATCCCTTCGTAAAGAATGCTGGATGTTCCATTCCCTGCCGGATGCCCAGGAGCTGTGGACACATTGGCTCGATAAGCGTGCGAATGAGTTTCCACATGCTTTAATCGGCGGTGGGCAAACCTCCCTTTAATAGACCTCCCCTTAGTGAAAATGGCCTGGGACCGAAACCGACGGACCTGGACCCGCAAAAATGACAGCCGCGACGCCGTCTCGCGAACCGAAAACGGCCAATTCCTTAATCGACGTGTCAGGGTAGGAGGTCTGTCCACCCCCGATTTAAGGAATTGCCTGGCCGAGGACGGGGATCGGGGGCAGCCTCAGCCCGTTGAGCTTACAGCTCATTCGCTCGACGTGCTATTCGTGCTCTCTTCCTCCGTGGGACCCCCCCTTCGCTCTCTTTTTCATCCTATCCCAATAACCGGTGCCACACAGTGGCTACCGCGTCGGAATCGGTCCTCGGGCGCTTCTGGCTCTGAATTCAGTCTTTAGTTCTAGATGCCCAAACCTGCGCATCTGCCCAGTCAGGAGCAGCATCTTCGTTGTCTCTCCCCTGGGGCTCCCCCTTTGTCTCTGTACACCGCATGATGCTCGCATCTTTGGCTTCGTTTGTGATGTTCCCGTTATCTCTGTTTGATTACGCGATGGCCTCCCCAATTGGCCCAAACCTGCTTATCCAATGAAGGGGCCTCCCCCCCTGCTCTCTTACCGTGGGTCTCCCCCAGCCCAACGCTGTGCTTAGTAATTCTATGCCTAATTTGAGGGAGTTTCTGTGGAACTCTCGTCATCCTCACCCCCGGCGCGAAGAGCACGAGCCCAGAGCGGCCTCCGGCACCGTTTCCGGACGGATCCGCTGGATCCGCTGGATCCGGTGACGAATCCCAAACCGGCGCCCTCGCCTGAGACATCCTCACAAAACGGGCCCCGGGGGGGATGCCCAGAGGAGCCCAGAGCGGCCTCCGGCACCGTTTCCGGACGGATCCGCTGGATCCGCTGGATCCGCTGGATCCGGTGACGAATCCCAAACTGGCGCCCTCGCCTGAGACATCCTCACAAAACGGGCCCCGGGGGGGATGCCCAGAGGAGCCCAGAGCGGCCTCCGGCACCGTTTCCGGACGGATCCGCTGGATCCGCTGGATCCGGTGACGAATCCCAAACCGGCGCCCTCGCCTGAGACATCCTCACAAAACGGGCCCCGGGGGGGATGCCCAGAGGAGCCCAGAGCGGCCTCCGGCACCGTTTCCGGACGGATCCGCTGGATCCGCTGGATCCGGTGACGAATCCCAAACCGGCGCCCTCGCCTGAGACATCCTCACAAAACGGGCCCCGGGGGGGATGCCCAGAGGAGCCCAGAGCGGCCTCCGGCACCGTTTCCGGACGGATCCGCTGGATCCGCTGGATCCGCTGGATCCGGTGACGAATCCCAAACCGGCGCCCTCGCCTGAGACATCCTCACAAAACGGGCCCCGGGGGGGATGCCCAGAGGAGCCCAGAGCGGCCTCCGGCACCGTTTCCGGACGGATCCGCTGGATCCGCTGGATCCGCTGGATCCGGTGACGAATCCCAAACCGGCGCCCTCGCCTGAGACATCCTCACAAAACGGGCCCCGGGGGGGATGCCCAGAGGAGCCCAGAGCGGCCTCCGGCACCGTTTCCGGACGGATCCGCTGGATCCGCTGGATCCGCTGGATCCGGTGACGAATCCCAAACCGGCGCCCTCGCCTGAGACATCCTCACAAAACGGGCCCCGGGGGGGATGCCCAGAGGAGCCCAGAGCGGCCTCCGGCACCGTTTCCGGACGGATCCGCTGGATCCGCTGGATCCGGTGACGAATCCCAAACCGGCGCCCTCGCCTGAGACATCCTCACAAAACGGGCCCCGGGGGGGATGCCCAGAGGAGCCCAGAGCGGCCTCCGGCACCGTTTCCGGACGGATCCGCTCCGCTGGATCCGGTGACGAATCCCAAACCGGCGCCCTCGCCTGAGACATCCTCACAAAACGGCCCCGGGGGAGGTGCCCAGAGGAGCCCAGAGCGGCCTCCGGCACCGTTTCCGGACAGATCCGGTGGATCCGCTGGATCCGCTGGATCCGGTGACGAATCCCAAACCGGCGCCCTCGCTTGAGACATCCTCACAAAACCG